AAAAAAAAAAAAAAAAAAAAAAAAAAAAAAAACAAACAGAGCGATAAGTGAGATATAGTTGGAAAATTCAAGTAAAAATAATTTTAAATACGATCTGACACATAACCAAATTAATGAATTATTTGAAAATGATATTTTAAGGTGAATGGATATTCAAATTAATATATCTTACTATCATTATAGATAGCATTCATTGGCGTCGACTGATGTCAATAAGTATTAGTTTTAAAATGGGTTAAAAAATATGCATAAAATTTTAAGAATATATTTTTTTTTGTATATATATTTTGTTGTTTAGGGATTTAATTAATACAATTTTTAAGAATTTAATAATGTTTTTTTAGAAAAAAAATTTTAGCCAATAATTAATAACATTACCAAAGCTTGAACACACAGAAATAATATTCAATCATTGATAATACTGAAATAATATTTGGACTGATGATAGAAATGTGGAGACATAAATTTCCATATATTAGAAAAAACATAAACATAATATCCATAAAATAGAAGTTTTTTTTAAAGAAAAAGTGATCTAATTCAGTCCGTCCGATTCCTTGACCTTGATGGTGGTTTGAGGACTTTCTGATCTCAACGCTCTCTGCAAATGTTCTACGCTGACGTTGGAACTGGTGAACACGAATCGCCGGAGCCGTGTCCGATCATCCACCACTGTATTCGGGACAATCCCCCACCTGCAACCGTAATCGCTGCCTCTGACCACCTCGCACTGTATCACCTCCACTGGGTCAGAACCGTGGTGAAGGAATATGAAATCTCCGGCCGACGACATGCCGATCGACGCCATTTCTGCACTCTCTCCTTGCAATTTCTCAATGAATGACTTCGGCATTTCCCCAATTTTCCGATACTCTGAAAATTGAACCACCACTTCATATATCTTCACGCTTTTAACATCCTCCGGCGACCCCGAGAGTCCTACAATCACCATTCCGTCGCCGGCAAATCCGATTATCGATGAAAAAACATCCGGGTTGGGTTTCATGTCAAATGGCCCGGCCCATGATTTCTTTATCGGGTCGAATGAAAATACTACTCCGGAAGTTTTATGCATGACGTGTAAATTGTGGTCGTCAACGGCAATCGAGAACCACATGGCGGTTGCGTATTCGGCAAAGATTGAAGGTAATTCTTCGCACGTGTCCCACGTCTTGGATTTCAATTCGTAAATTTCAACGGCGGGAGGTTCGTCGTTGAAGACGCACGTGCCGGCGACGATGATGACTCTGTGGGCAACGAGGGCAACTATTGGGTCGGCTCGCCAAGTCAGCGGGGGATCCACGTGTTGCCACGTGAGGTGGAGGGGGTCTATTGAGAAAGAGAATTTGGAGGGGGTGAGTGTGTAAAGTAAAGAGGAGTGAGATGATTGGAGGTGGGCGGTGCGGGGGATCGGAGAGTGGTAGTTGATGTTCATCCAGACGGCGGAGCGAGGGTCGTAGGCAGCGGCGGAAGGAGAGGATTTGGGGTGAAAGTGGAGGAGGAGCCATGGTTTGAGGGCGTTGAAATGGGAGAGAGAGGAAGAGACGGCTTGTTCCCAGCCACGTGAAACGGAGGAGGAGGAGGCGAGATCTATGAGAGGGAGGTGAGAGAGAATACACTCCAAAATGTCGCCGTGGACAGCGGCGCCGTCTTGCTCGTCCGCCGTCTCTTCTGTAGACATGGGAGCGAGGCTTGATTGGTTTTTCAGGCAGGCGTTGTTATATAATTATAGGCGGCGAAGCTGAGGATTCTATCCCCATCTCCTATAGTTTTTTCAACGTGGATTTAAAATATGCATTTATTATTATTTTTTATTATTTATAAAATACACGTGAAAAGAACAGTCGATAGACTAGTTTTATTATTAAAACGTTTATTTCAAAATTTTATTTTACGAAAATAATTATTATTTTTTAAAATTATAGTTTCTTCTCCAACTCCAACTGACATGGATCCTCTTGGTGCTTATCGTCTTCACTAGCACATAAAGCTATCCATATTGTCCTTTTTGGGTCTTCTCAGAAAGTTTTAAAACGGGATCTTTCTACACTTATAACCAATGATTTGTTTTCCTCTTCAACCAACGTGGAATCTCAACCGTGATATATTCAATGGTCTGCTTGCATATGCCATTCGTTGTTGCTTGAGGGCCATACACCTACAACTAAGCTGAAACCGTGATATATTCAATGGTCTGCTTGCATATGCCATTCGTTGTTGCTTGAGGGCCATACACCTACAACTAAGCTGATTGCTATAACTTCTCCTTTTAGGCCTTGATTATGCCATTAAACGTAGCAGCTACGTAGGTAAAGTTAGTTATTCTGCCTCCATTCACAAGCGCTCTAATACGACTATTAGGATCGGCAGTCACACACTACCAAAAATAACTTATTAAGCACGTAAACAACCAAAATCCACAGCTAGCAGATATCGTTCTTTTTGGGTTTTCTTTTTTGAGTTTTCTCTCAAGGTTTTTAAAACATGTCTGCTAGTGAGAGGTTTTCACACTCTTATAAAGAATGTATTGTTCTCCTCGCCAACCGATGTGGGATCTCACAATCTGTCTTTTTCATGGTCCAACGTTCTCGCTGGCACTCGTTCCACTCTCCAATCGACGTAGGATCTCACAAAGCAACACGACATTCCTTAAACCCTACATTGCACCAGAGAAGAACCCATCAACAAATTGTGAAAGAGAAACATGAGACCAACGGTATTCAACAAATTGCTTAAAGATCAGAAAATTTGAAATTGATTCGGCTCTCCGTCTTCCTCGAGCTTATGAATGCGTTTAATATCTCATGATCATTGAAGTTTTGCAATTATAAAATTCCCAGCTAGTGGCCGGACATAAAGGGAAAATTTGCCCGACCTTGTGGTAAGACAACGACTTTGTGTTTCTAATGTTATAGATGTATTATATTTGTTAGTCTTAAAGTCGAGCTAAATGGATTTTTCACTGGGTGGCGATGGCCTACGACTTATAACTTATTTAGATAGTCACACACTAGGTTGAACCCCTATCGAAAGACTTAACTCATTCTGATCTCGCCTTTATCTGTACAACAACTTAACACCTGATCTCGCAATTAGACTCTTCGTAATCTTCAAGTTGGTTAGGTTGAGTCCATTAAGAGAGTAAGTTTATGATCATTGTGCTTGAGGACAAGGTTGATCTCTCTGCCTACTCGACACTTCAAGAGTGACCTTTACTACTTAGTAAAGTTTCTCCTCCTCCTATGCTAGAAGACAAGTTTGACTCTTCTTGTTTAGTGTCACGGTTATGTTTGTCCAAGATGTGTCGTTCGTGGCGGTATGCTTATGTCATGCCAAACTCTTAGGTCTAACTCTTGTTGTAAGATTTTATCACCTTGACGTTGTATTATTTCATCTGTGTGACTCTTGACAAAACTATGTCAAATCTTGTAGAAATAAAATGTTTCGAAATGTACTATAGAAAAATGCGACTTGTCGTCAATTCTCCATACTCAGAGTTATATGTTATCTAAGCCGGTGTTGTCCATTATTTGCTTGCTAGCCTATAACATTGCTTTTAACTAGTTTTCGAAAATATCTTCGAACCCATTTTCTAAATTTTTGTTCTCAAACGCGACCGAAAGCTTGAGTATACTCATCCATGCCAGCAACAACGTGGTTTCAAATTGGTTGGTTTACTTAGCGGTGAGAGCGAGTAAGACACGATCACTTTATAGAATCTTGAAAAATGAGATTGTAATGCCTTTTTTTCCTTTTCGACTTGTCCACATCATCTCACCCGTAAACTTTGGCGACCGTATACAATTGGTTCAAAACAATCATTTTATATAGTTATCCATCCTAAAGTGTTCACGTGATTTTTTTTTTAATTTTTATATTATATTTTAATGAAAAGTAGGATTTCAAATGGATAACTCAAAATTTTTGAGGCAAATAAAACAAAATTTTATATTAGAAAAAATTAAAAGGGGAAAATTAAAGAAGGGAATGAAAGGAAAGAAAGCGGAGACGGTGGACTTCTAGGCCTCACCGCGAGCGTATTGGGTAATTTCATTCGTCCCCAAATTGATTTTCTTCGCACTTCAGATTTGCAGCGGATTATCGGATCAGGTACTCTCTTTAGCTCGATGCTTCATTTCGTGATTTCTGTTTCGTGGATTCCATCGATTGTCGTCAATTGGTTTTCTGGGTGTAGGGTTTCGAGTAGAATTCGGGGGCGAGGAAATTTTGACTGAAAAGTTCGGTTTGATTTGAAGAATTGAACTTTTGGAGCGTGTCGACTCTAAAATTTTAGAAATGGAGGGTGCGGAACAGTGGAAGGTTCAGGTGGAGCAATTGAAAGTCCATATGGAGCATTGGCTAGAACAAGGCTTGGAGCTTGTTCACCAAATACCCCCAATTCAACTCTACGTTGGGGTTGCTGTGTTGTTATTTACCACTTTGCTTCTTTTATTGAGTGAGTCTTTCTCTTTATCTGAATGTTCCTTTCTGTAATGGTATATGGTGGAACATTTTGGAATTGAAATTTTCCCCCCCTTCTCTCCCCGCAGCTCGCTTGTTTAACCGCAGAAAATCGAACATCATTCTACTCAGTGGGCTCAGTGGAAGTGGGAAAACTGTTCTTTTTTATCAAGTAAGCATCTGCCTTGTTGGTTTAATTGCATTCTTCATATACTTCGGTTCCAATTGAGTGGTTAAGCCTTTTGTCATATGAGTTTATACACTAATTATATTTCTTCACCATCTTCTCAAGAAGTAGCCTTAAAGCCCCTAATGTTATTTTGGAATACTCTGTAGATATTCTTGGTGTTTGATGTCTTGGATACTTCAAAGCATAGCATAATGATTAATTCATGTCTGACAATGTTGTTACATACAATTTGAGACGAAGCATAATTTCTTTTGGGTGTATGATGATGCTAGATCACCTATATATATGTGCTAAAGATTAATGTATTAAGGGAAAGAAAGGGGGGAAAACCTCTTGCCTTCTAAATGTGTTGTTGTCATTTATGATGTTTTTATGCCTTTGCAGCTTCGTGATGGTTCGTCTCATCAGGGTACTGTTACATCAATGGAACCTAATGAGGGTACTTTTGTGCTTCATTCTGAAATAACGAAGGTAATTTCTGTTTCCTAGTACTGATACTCAGAAATTGAGAATGCTCCATCGCCGACCCATTTCAGCTTTGAAATCAAAACGATCATTGCCGCTTGGTTTCTGTTTCCAGCAGTCTTTAAAATAACAGACATATTTTTTTTTCTGTGTATCTTGGTAGAAGGACAAACTGAAGCCTGTTCATCTTGTTGATGTTCCTGGGCATTCTCGCCTTCGAGCCAAACTAGATGAATTTCTGCCTCAAGCAGCTGGTGTAGTCTTTGTGGTGGATGCTTTGGATTTTTTGCCCAACTGTCGTGCAGCTTCAGAGTAATGGATTAGTCCTCTCAACTTTTTGTTTACGTTCATGTGCATTTACTATATTAATGGAGGTGTTTTGAGTAGCCTAAGTTCTTCATGAATGTGTTACTTAAGCTTGAGTCTCCTGAGTTCTCCCAATTCTCTCGAGAAAACATTCCATATCACCATAGAAAGCACGTAATTTGTCACATTAAGCACTCACTTGCGCTGTCCATATCTGTTACTAGTTTAATCTAATTAAATATCTATGGAAGGTACCTCTATGACATCCTGACTAATGCGAGTGTTGTGAAGAAGAAAATCCCTGTTCTGATACTATGCAACAAAGCAGACAAGGTGACAGCCCACACAAAGGAGTTTATTAACAAGCAAATGGAAAAAGAGATGTATGGCATTCAACTCTCTATATTAGCAACATCTTTCTAATGATCTGCCATGAATTTGTATTGCAATTTTCAGCATTGTGTTTTTATATGTTTGTGCAGCGACAAGTTACGAGTATCAAGAAGTGCAATCTCAGATGCTGATATCTCAAATGACTTCACACTAGGAGTACCTGGAAAAGCTTTTTCGTTCACACAGTGCCATAACAAAGTAACAGTTGCTGAAGCCTCTGGTTTGAAGGGCGAAGTATCTGAGGTGGAGCAATTTATAAGGGAAAACGTGTAGCTGTATATCCGAGTCTACATAATGATTGGTGTCTTTTTCACCCTTTCAGTATGAACTCCCAAATTTGTACTTGAATTGCCATTTTGAGACTTCTGAATTGCATACCAATTTTTTTAGTGTCTAAAGACAGTAGGAACCAATTCTTTATTCCTTTTCAACTTGTTTTGGTCAATGAGTTTAAAAGTACAATTACTTTCTTTACAAATAGATACACTGAAAATATGCAGCTTTTCCCTTGTCATACACGAATATGAAATTTACTAACCAAACCAACATTGATCTATTCAGGCCTGAGCTTCTTTGCTATGATATCAACAGGTAATGATCCCATAGGTACAGACGGGTTAACATTATCAAAAAGGTCTCCTTCCCCATCTTCGTCATCGTCGGAGCTGTAGTTAGATTTGTCGTGATCCTGACTTTCAAGGGTGTCATCTGGGCTGCTGTCATCTTCACTTGACATGATTAATGCTGGATATGAATGCTCGGTTGCTTGTGAAATTCTCTCAAACTCCTCAACTTTCTCTAAAAGGTCATCCGGAGCAAGACCCATCTCATTTAGCAGCAAGGCCTTGTTCGAATCAATAGCCTTCTCCCATAGCAGCTTCATTTTTGGGCTAGTTTTGATCGTATGATAATTGCCATGTAAGAGGTCACCATTCTCAATAGACTCACCTAGAAAAAGTAACAAAAAAGCAAAGATTATTGAATGTTTAATTATATGAAAGGAATATACTAACCAGATGAACACAAACCATCATTTGTGCGAACTTGACAAGGAAGTGTAGCAGAAACATCTTCTGAAATATCTGACTTCCAATCCTTTCCCCTCCACATCAATATCTGTTCGTTGTCAAATGATAATAACACACAAGGAACCAATTCCTGTAAATAAAAATCAAGTAATGCTAATTAATAATCTACGTGAAACGATCATCGTTTGATCTTCAAACTGCTGCTTCCATACGTTCAACAAAAGTAAACTATACAGAGCCAGCATTTCAAGCGTGCTGCATACAGAAATTGTAAGATGCAATTGCAATCGAGTTCGAAGTTTTACACGATATCGCAAGCAAATATACATAGGCAGAAAAGAGAATGACAAGGCTCAACTCAGTTCCATTGATATAGCAGGCTGTATGAGGAGTTTTGGCTCTAACTACTAATTTCTATGCAAGAAACGTTCTAAGAATCACCATAGACAAGGCAATGAGTAAAGAACAAGGCAATGATTAAAGGATGAAAATGTATGCCAACCTTGAGTTTAGCACCCAACTTTTTATAATCACTTTCATGCATCCCAGTGCAATCAACCTTCACCAAAATGCTTCCTTCAAAAGCGTGCCTTACGTCATTTACCAAGGAAATGTACACACCATTTTTTGCTGCAAAAGGAGATAGATTAAGCTCAAAACTTATAAAGGGGATCAAATGAGACCACTTTGTATAAATTACAAGCAATTTCATTAAGGTTTAAAAAAACGGTTCAAATGAATAACGAATTAAATTGTAGTAGGCTATAGGTGAGTTATACAATAATACTAGGGGTGTACATTGTCTAGGATAGGTTGGGTTGAGGGATTTTTTTGGACCCATCAAAAAGTTCAGGTCGGATAGATTGGTAACCCAACCCAACCCAACTGACAAACTGACAAACATGGCCTCTATCACAAAAGCACTATAAATTCTCTCACTTTCAAAGTTGACAATAAAGAAAATCAGAAAAATAGAGAAAGGATCATCTTAGGTCGATAGCAATATGGAACTAAAGAACTCTTTTTGGAGACCGTGGAGAATGATATACTCATTTACCTAATTTACATATTGGCAAAAGATTTTTCCCTTTCATCCTTAGCTCATTAGCTTCCTCTATCGTTAAACCTTCTGGAGCTTCTTGAATAAGTTTTGGATACACAGGGGCCGCAGGTTTCCACAGCATTACAGGGTATTGAGGGCGACTACGATAATTGTAGTTTCTACCTCGGAAAAGATATAATACGCCACCGACTCGGTGAATTATTTTTCCACCTGTTTTTTCCTGGAATCATTAGCACAAGAAACTAACATGTAAATGAACTGAGAATGCTGGCTGTTTCTCATAAATCAAAAGGGAATTTGTCAGGAAGAGTTTGGGGAATGTAAACATTCAGGGACAACATTCTTATAGAAAAAGAGAAAACTCATATCATGCAGTAGAAAATTAGGGGAAATCGATTCAGGGACAATTCCTTATCATGTTGTACAAGATGAATACGGTCTCGCTATCGGTCAAATGGGAATAATGTTGGTAGCATACAAACCTGGTAGATTTTATTAGGCTGGTTTGAATTAGGATAGCATGGTACATCCAGCGCCACAACATAAGCTTGTGACATAATGTTTTGGAGTTTGGCACATTTAGCATTGGTTATGAGTGAATTATGCCATATTTCTCTTGCTTTCTCACTTTCTCATAGGATTATAATGCAATCCATAAAACATAGCACCATCGTGAGATCCCACATTAGTTGGCGAGGAGAACGAAATATTCTTTACAAGGGTGTGAAAATACATTAAAGGAAGGTAAAGCTTACCTCTAGTCTAGAACACAACAACAACTACATTTACATTACCGAAAGAGAAGCTGCTCAGTCACTCACCTATAGAGAAAGCAAGCAACCAAGACAGACAACAACATTCATTACAGACAGAAAGGTAAACTCAGTCACCTACAAACACAACAACTACATTTATATTACAGAAAGGTAAAGCTTACCTCTAGTACACAGAACAAATGGAAATACAATAAAACAATATTGATTTATCTTCCTGGACCACTTATGATCGATATTTCTTGATTGAAAAAAGACTAAATATTGATGACTAAAATGACTAAATATTGCTGAATTAGAGTTCACTGTCAGACTCTCTCTCAATCTCTTGTTCCATTGTTTTTTGAATAGAAGTAACGGCATGAAGAAACCTATAGTGTTTGTTTCAAGACTCAAGAGAAAGGCTTAAGCAAGACAAGATGCGTGAACTCACTCACTCTTTCCCCTTCCCCGTAACCTGATTGAATTTGTATTTTTTGCTTTACTTCGCATACGCGTTTTAAAACTTGAGAGGAAGCCCGAAAGGGAAAGTCCAAAGAGGACAATATTTGATAGCGGTGGGTTTGGGCTGTTACAAATGGTATGAGAGCCAGACACCGGGCGATGTGCCAGCGAGAAGCTTGAGCCCCAAAGGGAGTGGACACAAAGCGGTGTGCCAGCAAAGACGTTGGGCCCCAGAGGGGAGGTGGATTGATGGTCCCACATCGATTGGAGAAGGGAACGTGTAGCAACGAGGATGCTGTTCCCAAAGAGGGGTGGATTGTGAGATCTCAAATCGGTTGGGGAGGAGAACGAAACATTATTTACATGGGTGTGGAAACCTCTCACTAGTAGACGCGTTTTAAAACCTTGAGGGGAAGCTTGAAAGGGAAAGCCCAAAGAGAACAATATCTGCTAATGGTGGGCTTAACAAATACATGCGTGGGAAAGTGTGATACAAATTTGGTATAGTAAAACTAGCAGAACACCTATCCAGTAGTAGTCATAAGGGAAGGCAAAACTAAAATAAAACTTGCTTCATACAATTCAATAGAAATGACTACAGAACGAAGAATGTGAGAAAATAATACCTCGATATGATGGCAGATATTGTCCATATCAACTGTGGGAACACCTTTGCAGCGAACTTTACAGACACGCTGCCGCTTCCAATGAGAATGTATCAATTCCAACATGTTGTGGGTAAGTCCATCCCTTCCTAACACGTCCAATTCAAATGAAAAAAGGTCACCAACTTGAGCCGATCATAGAACTGGGAATCGCAACAAGGCATATATATATGATCACATAACAACCAGCGATAGTTAAACTGCATAAGGAAACGGGGAGAAGAAATCATAGCTCACCAAGATTAACCTGGCGATTATGTGACAAATGGGGTTTCACCAGCATGCGTATCTCCCAATTCTTGAGGGGCTCCCCAAGTATCTCCTCTCTGCTTTTCCCCTCTTTCGGATACTTGCCAAGCGGGAACGGGCCAGGCATTTCGACTTGCTTAACTCCCTTCGTACCAGGAGGGGGTGGATTGAAGGAATCAAAGAGAGGGATTTTCTTCTTCGAGCTCTTCAACGGAGCTTTGCCTGTCCAGGGCCTCGGCATCGTCGGAGGTGCAAAGGGAAGAAACGCCGGTTCACGAATTGCAATGGGCTTGACCTTAGGAATCTCAGAGTAGCTATATTGAAACTCAAATGGAGCGTCGGGAAGTAGATACGAGACACCCGAATCGCCGATGACGACGGCGCGATCGCCGTGGGATGAAATTACTCCGTCCTTCACAGGCTTGTAGTATTTGGAACGGCGGTGGAAGGTTTTGAGAGCAGGATTAGGTGGTTTTGGAGGGTTGGTTCGAAGAATGCGGGATTTGGGTGGAGGGTATCTGGGAATTGGAATGGGTGTTGAAGGAGTAGAAGTGGAGGATGGATCATGCGGCGGCGGAGCTGAAGGGAGAGATGAAAATAGGTGGAGGCCTGGCAGTGACGGCATTCTTGCCATTGTTACAGTACCTTCTTTCTCTCCCGATGGAGGAGACAGATAAGGCAGAGCTCCCACGAGCCTTCCAGAAAATGGACGAAAATAATAATAATAATAAATATAAATTGTAGCCCAAAACCCATGCGATAGGAGTTGAGACTAAACCCAACTAGGCCCAAGTCCGAGAATTTTGGGTCCAAAGCCCAAATCGAACCCATGTATTTAGAAACGAGCCCACAACAAATAAAGCCCATACAATTTTCTTCTAATATTATTGTATTTTATATAATTTTAAAATTGGTTATAAAATTATAATAAAAAAACATAGATAGAATTAAAAAAAATAATACACACATAAAAATAGGTTTTTTTAAATAAAAAAAATAATAAGGCATTGAAAATTAGGGTCCCAGAAACCCTAGAAGGACGAATCCCCTACCTATAAAAGGCAACCATTCTTTCTCACAAACCCTCGTTACACCAGTTCAGTCGTGCGGCTCTGCGAACAAGCCTCCCAAGGATGCAGATCTTCGTGAAAACCCTAACGGGTAAGACCATCACCCTCGAGGTCGAGAGCTCCGATACCATTGACAATGTCAAGGCCAAGATCCAGGACAAGGAGGGAATCCCCCCGGACCAGCAGCGTTTGATTTTCGCTGGAAAGCAGCTGGAGGACGGCCGAACTCTTGCCGACTACAATATCCAGAAGGAATCCACGCTGCACCTTGTGCTTCGTCTTAGGGGAGGCGCCAAGAAGCGAAAGAAGAAGACCTACACCAAGCCCAAGAAGATCAAGCACAAGCATAAGAAGGTCAAGCTCGCCGTCCTCCAGTTCTACAAGGTCGATGACTCTGGAAAGGTGCAGAGGCTCAGGAAGGAGTGCCCTAATGCCGAGTGCGGTGCTGGGACTTTCATGGCCAACCACTTTGATCGCCACTACTGCGGCAAATGTGGTTTGACCTACGTTTACAACAAAGCTGGTGGTGATTAGGTTTATCCGTTGTTTTTCATCATGTTTTCATTTGATCTAAATGTTTAATTGTCGTTGAATTTTATCTAGAATTGCTCATCAAGCTTGTTTGAGTCTAGTTATTGACATGGATTTTGTTTTCTTATTGTCGATTTATTATCGTTTTTATGAATATCCTCATATTTACTTACTCCTTTACGATTATCATCCTTGAAAAAACTGTTTAATTTTTAATGAATTATATGCTTATCCTGAACTTCATATATTTGTGTTGAGGAGTAACTTCATGTTATCTTCTGTGCGATTGGTAAGTTTTCTGTTTTGGTAGTGCTCAAGTCCGACGTATATTTGATGATTTTATTTGCTTCTGTGTGTCATTTGATTCTTGAACGAATTTTGATGTTCTTATCTTCCCTAATGTTATTCACGTATTCTGAAGATCATTTGCAACGCGATGTGTTCTTCCTGCAATGCAGTTTATATTTTTTAATCGTTTTTTTTAAAGTTCTTTAGTTTGAAGCGGTTTTAGTATTGTCTTCTTCGGTCCCATTTGATGAAATATGTAAATATATTGTTTTTCTATAACCCCTGGTATTAACGTTTTTCACTTATCAGAATGACTCTGCTGTTACTAGGAGACCCACAACATAAGCTAAACATGTTTGGACTGAACTATTTTAGGTTTTACCATTGTCTACAAATTGCTAAGTGCCTAATGATTGTTTAGTTTGTTTTCATATTTTTCCTTGCGAACTAATCACTGTTGTTACCTCATCCCGACTTGACTTTGTATCTAAAGAGTTAGAAGTGTTGTGGTTCTTCGTTTGGCTGTGTTCTATACCATCAATATCTTAGAACTTCATTAATATCTAGGAACTGGTTCTCTGTTTTCCTACCCACTATTTTTGAACTCGATCTTTATACCCATCTTCCTGTGTTTGTATTTTCTTTTTTGAGTTACAAGCTGCTTCCATTGTTTTTATTGATTGTTCAGGGTTTCGTGATTATTTCCAACTTCTGATGTATTGAATTTTTTAGAACTGCAGTTACTGTTTGGTTCACGGTGTGGGTGTATTGTTGCCATACTGAAACCGATTGGGCAAGTGCCCGATACGTGTTGAGGGTGTATTAGTTGATCTTGAGAAGCTAGTTTTGAATGGTCCATTTGAATCTTTTTGTTGGTTGAAGGCGCAGTCTGATGTTTGATCCATTGGTTGTTTATTCTATACTTGATTTTGAACTATGCATCTTGTTGATTATGTGGCTTGATCGATTTTATTTTGGATATCAAGCTAGACCGATTACGTCTTTGAACCTGTCATACTATTTCGAATGGATGGAGCAAACCCAACACAGAAGTTCTCATGTTATTCCTTCAGCGTGCTCCTCGCGCACGGTCTTGTTGCTTATTCCCATTTTCTCAATGCTTAAGAAGTTACTAACCCAAATTTAAACCGTTGGAGGCTATATGTAACATCAAAAGAATTGGTAAAGGTATATCATGATGGGCCCTTAGACAATTGTTTCTCCTTGATTTACTCGAATGCACAGCTTCATAGAGGATGGTACAACATTATGCAAGGGTTTTTTTCCTCATTCCTCCCGCATGGAATGTTATTCGATGTTCTATCCGATCTTCGATTCTGTCACGATACCCGGTTATCTAAATCAATTTTTATGTAGTTATTGGTATGATTTTTACTTTGACAAACACCATCTTAGAAATGTGGTAACAAAATTTGATTATATCTTGCATTAAGCCATATAATTTTTGAATTATGCTTGTTTTTTAATCAATTTTCATATTTTCCAAGTAATCATTTGAATTCTTTATCAAATTTTATTGCTATACATTTAGTTTTCAATATCAAAATTTTGACGATAATCATAACAAATAGTATTCAAACAAATGGAAATACGTGTCTAATGGTACCCTGAAACATCAGTAAACACAAAGTTGATGCCTCTATCGAGAGGGCTCGTCTGAGGCCAACATGCACATTTAGTTTTCAATATCAAAATTTTGATGGAAATACGTGTCTAATGATACCCTGAAACATCAGTAAACATAAAAGCTGATGGCTCTATCGAGAGGGCTCGTCTGAGGTGGTGGGTAGGAGGGGATTGATTACTACCATTTGGGCCTTCAGACAGCGAAGAGAGACAGAGATTCTAAAATGCAAAGAAGTTTTCGAAGCAGACATCATTGTAAAAACTCTCTGCACTTTCACTTTCATCAGTAAAACAGCACGGTCTCCTGCATCACAGCTGTTTGTTGCAAACATTGAAGGACAAAACAACGACACATGAGACAAACAAGCACCACTCACCCAGCTTCATTGAACTTCCAACTCTGTTCCCAACTTCCCAAAACTCTTCCAAGTGTTTTTCACCATTTAATGCCAAACTCCTTCATATCTGCTATAAATTTGGAGTTTGCCTTCTTAGAACCTACAGACCCACACAGATTTTCTCTCACTTTAGAACAATGAACCATCTCTTTGAACTTCCTGAAAAGATTTGCTATGTGCAATGTGGAATCTGTACCACCATTTTGCTGGTATCTTGGTGTTCTTCATTGTTCTTGAGCTTCAATTCATGTGAATGATTGTTCATGTGGAAAATGCAGGTCAGTGTGCCGTGCAGCAGCTTGTCGATGGAGGTGACCGTGACGTGCGGCCACTGCTCAAGCCTCCTTTCTGTTAACATGCTGAGAGCCACTCTGGTTCCTCTTCATTTTCTGTCTTCTCTATCTCGCAATCTGGTATTTGGAGCCTTTTTCCTTCTTCCTCTTTTTGAATTCTGATTTACTGATCAGATGTTGTTGTTTGTCTCTATCTTTTTGTCCTTTCAGCCCAAAGAAACTTGTAGAGAAATGAGTTCAGGGAAGTTGTTTGACAGTTTCATAAGATCAAACTTGAAATTTTCTGAGTATGAAGTTGAAGAAGGCTTGATTCCTGTCACACCTCCCTCTGTAAACAAACGTAAGAACGTTGTGATTTCCAATTATAACAACAAATCTGAAAACTTTTAACTTGTTCATTTGTTTCGTTGAATGATCACTTCAAGCTCCTGAGAAAAGACAGCGTGTCCCATCAGCATACAACTGTTTCATCAAGTAAGATATCAAACTTTCAAACTTCTTACTCATTTTATAGCGAGTTTGGGATGACTTCTAATAGTAGAATATTAGTGAAGGAAAGTACTTCCCTAGGCAGATATTAGCTATAGCTGATATTGTATTTGTTCCTCTCTTCAATGGATATGGGATGTCACAATCGACTCTCCTTCAGGGTCCTGCGTCCTCGCTAGCACTCATTTTCCTCTTCAATCAACGTGGGATCTCAATCTACCCCTTTGAGGCTCAACATCTTTATTGACACTCGTTCCCTTCTTCAATCGATGTGAGATCTTAATCCACCCCCTTTCAGGGCCCAACGTTCTCAATCGCACTCGTTCATCTTTCCAATAGATGTGGGATCTCACAATCTAACTTCCTTCGGGGCTCAATGTCCTTGGTAGTACAGCTCCCAGTGTCTGGCTCTTATACCATTTGTAACAACCCAAGCCCAATGATAGCATGTATTGTCCTCTTTGGGCTTTCTCTTTCAGGCTTCGGCTAAAGGTTTTTAAAATACCTTTTTTAGGGAGAGGTTTCCACATCCTTCTAAAGAATACTTCGTTTCCCTCTCCAACCGATGTGAGATCTTACAATAGACACTAGTAGAACCTAAAAAATAATAGACACTAGTAGAACCTAAAAGAAGCTTTTAAGAAATGGATAGATTCCAAGCACTTATTAACCTTCCAAGCCCTTCAAAGCGCACTTAAGTTGTTTAAAAGAATGAATCTAATCTGTTTGTGTTGGAAAAGGGATGAAATCAGAAGGCTCAAAGCTGAAAACCCTCAAATGACTCACAAGGAGGCCTTCAGAACAGCTGCAAAAAATGTAAGCAACAGCAGCAGTCTCAATCAACTTCATTATGATCTGATTCATATCCATATGTTCTGTGAATTCTGAAATGATTTTGATTTTGATCTTTCAGTGGGCAAACTTCCCTCCAACAATCCAACAAAAAGAAGACCCACAGAACACTCAAATTCCAGAGGTAAAAACACCATCTTTGAGATCAGAAGTTATGATATCCAATCAACTCTTCAAACCCATTACACCAAATGGAAAGCAAAACACAAATCATTCATAACGATGCTTGAAAATGCTCCTTTTCCAAAGCCGCAAATTTATGAGACTTCCATTAAAAGGGTAGGAAAGCTCATAATAATGAAGAAGTTGGGGCGTTTTTGTGGCAATTTTAAGCAACTGACGCAGTAATCAGAGTTTGTGTGTTTGAAAAGTTTCAGGTTGAGAAGAATGGAAAGTGTTTCCCAAGGCCTTCAGTTTTGACATAACTCACCATTTCAGTGGAAGCCATGCCTGCAATGCTTTCACTTTCTGCTCTCTTACTTCAAAAGGGTTGATGCCATTGGGAATCAAAGTTTCTTCCTTTTTTTCTCCTTTTCTCAGTCGATTAACTGTCTGGAAAGCTTGGATTTTTATAGAATCTTCTGCATGTCGGTTTGTGTTTTCTTTACTAAATCGCCCTTTTCAACTTTGAAACTATCAACCAGAATTCTTGGTTCCGAACGATGAATTGAATGCCCACTTCCCACTCAAACTCAATTTTAATTTTAACCATTTCAAATCACTTACGTTTAAAATTATTAGATAATATGAAATTGGGGAAACCTTACATTTTCATCTTGTTTTAGGAAAATAGTGATGAGGTAAACGGACTTCTAACAAATTATAACAATAGAAGATAAAATGGTGCAGTTCTATAGAAATAGAAAGGTTCATTTAACCACTTTAACTCTATAAGAGTATGAAATGGAGAGTTGATTGGCTCACTAAAAATATGTATATTTTATAAGGGTATAAAAATCTAATTACCAATATACATGTTTTAAAACCGGAAGCTGATGTCGATACGAATGTGCCAAAATGGACAATATTTTCTAGCGGTAAGCTTGAGTTATTACAAATGGTATAGCAAGACATAGAGCGGTGTGTTAGCGAGGATGCTAGGTCTCCAAGGGAGGTGAATTGTCAGATCCCACATCGGTTGAAGAGGGGAACGAAACATTCGTTATAAGGGTGTGGAAATCTCTCTCTAATAGACACGTTTTAGAACCATGAGTCTAATGGCGATACGTAACCACTTTGACTCGAAAATATCTACTAGCAGTAGGTTTTGGCTATTAAAATACTCCTATAAAAAAAATGGCGAACGAATGAAACCACTTTGAGGTATTTTTTCTATTTACAATGTGGGTGCATAGTCTTTTTTTTCAGTCATCATTATAGTTTTACTATAATCTCTAGTGATCTTCGAAGTTTGAAGCTTTTAGATTTTAGATAACTCTCGGATTTCTTCTAAATTCTAGAGCTATAATGCACCCTTTGATCATACAACTACATTAACAAATTGAATTTCAGAGATGATATATCCTCCATCCTTCATTAACATTAACATTTCCTTATATAAGACAGCGGACACTTGTTGAGGACTTTCTCCAAATTCTTCAAATAAAAATCAACGTGTTTGTATCATCGAAAAGTTATCAATCATGGTAGTGGGTACTTTTTCACAATCGACACTTTCTATCGAAGAAGGTTAGAGCTTAACAATTGAGCTAATTTTTCTTTCTCCCCTTCTCTTAGTTCTCAAAAGATTCCGTTTCCGGCGCCGGCGTCCAAGGTGAGTTCCCAATCTTCTTCCGGAATCGTCTTTTTCAGAGAGGTTTTTGTGTTTAATTCGTGTCTGCTCCGGCCATGTTGGGTTTTGCTTACTTCAAGCTCTTAATCGAACGGCTTGTTTATTGTTATCTTCTTCGGATCGTTTCTTATCAATTCCGGATCCGATTTTCTGTATCTTAGGTTAAATGATTTCAAGGTTCTGTCGGCAGCGATGCTGGAAAGATCTCCTGTGGTGATGGAAAGGAGTTCTTGAATTTTGATTTCAGCTTCTGATGTTTCGAGATTGTTGTTCCATGAAAAGTTCTGGGTTGACTTTAGGTCAACGTTTTGGGCTTCCCCATGAGCTTGATTTGATGTTTTCTAGTTGAATTGTTGGGATTCATTCCATGGTCTGAATGGATAAAGGAAAAATGAATGGATTTTTCATTGTTTTTGAATCTTTGTTGGTGTTGGTATTAAGCTAAGAATCAATAACAGGAAAAAATCAAGGAAGTTTCTCTTTGAAACATTGGTTTTAGCATAGCTCTAAGATATATGCCTTCGACTAAAGATGTCAGATAGTTAGAGGTTCGAACCCATCACGAGCTAGAACTCAAAACATCTCTTGACATAAGCATTTGTCGTCTAAACGGCGCTTCGAGATGTCGGAGACTAACTCTTTGGTTGGTCTTTCAGGGGAAGTTGTTTAGCATTTCACAGAGGGGACTTAGTAGCAAATTGGGAGTTGTTTGCAGACCCAAGTGAAAGAAAGAAATGGGTTCTGAAGGTCCGGTGGGGTTACCATTCATGTGACTGGATTTAAGAAGTTCCATGGGGTTGCTGAAAATCCTACCGAGGCTATCGTCGAAGAAACAGGATTGCCTTCAGGTGTCACTCTTGGAAGTTGTACAGTTCTTGATGTTGCTGGAGATGGTGCTCTTCCACTGCTTTACAAAGTTCTGGAATCTGGCATCTCAAATGTCACAGAAACTACCAAACTCATATGGGTCAGTTTTTTTTAACACATCTCTCTTTAGGCCAATTGTTCTTTACAGTGCAAAGAAGATAAATTGGAGAAAGTAGAGATATCTATAGGGACTTCTAGATTTAGTGAATTCATTCCATAAATTTTAAAAACCACCTCAGTTAAATGAACAAGTTCTTCATTTAAAAGCTAACAGCATTACATTATATTTGATAAACTTGTGCATTCAACTAATATTTCTATCCTATCAAGATAGGCCCCACACACAGCAAAGGAAATTTTTTGTATATACTGATATGTAGCAAAATTTCCGTTTTTGTATAGCTGAGATATGATTAATAATGAATACTCAAACCTGGAGAGGATTTGTTCATGTTTGTTCAGCTTCACTTGGGAGTCAATAGTGGTTCGACGAGGTTTGCTGTTGAATGGCAAGCTGTGAACGAAGCTACTTTTCGTTATCCAGACGAACTCGGATGGCAGCCTCAGGTTGATTTCCTCTCTTACTTCTTGAGCTGTTATTGTATGTCTACAAAAAGCAGAACAATATATAGACATTTCATCAAAATTCAGTATCATTTCTATTTGCTGAAGAGAAAAGATTAGATCATGGTATTAAGAACAAATGACAAGGAAAAGAAAGACCAAAAACAATAAAAATCTATGAGAACCAAATCAGTTTGTTTGCCTTTTTTTTTCATTGTTGTTCTTTTTAACCCAGAAACTTCCAATAGTCATGGAGGATGGGGAAATCTCAATGATTAGAAAGGTACTTCTCTCTGGCCTTTTTCTGAATTTTATCATAGGCTTGGGATGTAACTTACTGTCAATCATTGTTTCAAGACATCCTGCTCGGCTCCGACGATCTTAGAGAGGTTGAAGGCGAAAAGCTACAATGTGATATTATCGGAGGATGCGGGTCGTTTTGTTTGCAATTATGTATATTACCATTCCCTCAGATTGGCAGAACAGAAGGGTCACAAATCCTTGTTTGTCCATGTTCCTCTGTTTTCAAAGATCAACAAAGAAACCCAGATGCGTTTTGTTCATTCACTTTTAGAAGCCATTGCGTCTACATGTTGAAAATTGTTTTGATTGCAGTGATTGCTCCATCAGTTCTGTAAATGTTAATATCCAAGCTGTGGACGCTGTTTCTTGCAAGGAAAGGCTTTTCTCACAAGGGAGAAAAGAAGTGTAGATTCTGGTTTGCTTTGCTCCACTATTTTTGGAAACTCCTTGTCTGGTGACTGACTGATCAATTCATGTAATAAAAACAAAAATCAGAATAGGCAGCAGACTATATGAAATCATTGAAATGTATTGTTCATATTCTAATGTAAAATGCTTCATCTAGGATGAAAAATGTAGGATTTCATTTAATAGTGTGGTAAAGTATCTAGAATGGAAATTCTGAAGTCTTGATTATGCGTATGTAGAAATACGGGTTAAATTCTTTTTGTTATCTTTGTTGATAGTGTGTTGAAACCTTTATAACTATAACGATCCAAGCAGATATTGTTCTGTTCAAGTTTTTCCTCTCGGACTTCTCCTCAAGGTTTTTAAAATGTATTTGTCAGAGACAAGTTTCCACATCCTTATAAAGAATCTCACAATCATAAATGCTACCACAAGTTAGTGTGTCAGCAGACGATCATGTCAATTTCCAAACGAATCTCTTTTCTTCTTTAATTACTTCAAATGTTGGAAGGACAGGACTCAATGAATGGGTTTTATGTGCTTCGAGCATTTGGGTTTCGTATGCTATTATTTATGAGTATTTTGGAGACTTTTTCTCCACATTTTAAATGTACAGAAACTATTTTCACCATGCATAGAAGAAGCTTCAGAGTTGAGATTGCTCAGAAAAAAAGAAATTGTGAAATGAGCCCAAAACAAAGAGAGAGAGACGGGGGAGAAACAAAACAAAACGCCTCAATGGCGGTGTTGAATTTGGTGTGCTGGTTTTAGAGTAAAGCAAAGAAACTTCAAGTTTTTCTCTTCTACTTTACGTGTAGGCATATTGGGAAATGGCGACTTCCCCTTAATCTGCTTTCAAGCAAAGCCATATTGCCCACTAAAATGGCTACTTTATTTTCCCTTATAAATTCTAACCTCTTTCATTGCATCATTGTATTAACACAAATTACTCTACTAATCTCTTCTACCAAGTCGACTGAAAATGGATAAATTCTTCCTGCTTTCCCTTCTTGGTATGCTGATCATTGTCTATGGAGTTTCAGGGAGTATCGTGCCTGATGGCGACATTGACATGGTTAAAGAACTCGAAAGTTTCGACATTGAAGAAGAGGACGACAGTGCGGTGGACACATATGCGGTCCCAGTGTGGAGAAGTGAGCACGGGAGCAAGATTCTGATAAATGTGGATAGTTTTGACGCGGTTGGAGATGGAGTTACAGATGACACTATGGTACATAGATACTTCTGTTCGGAAATATGGATTTTGTAGAGACAATACTGCACTGAAGTGTTTATTTTGCAATCAGGCTTTCAGGAAGGCATGGGAGACTGCTTGCAGCTCTTCAAATTCAGTTCTTTTGGTGCCAAAAGAAGGGAGATATCTGGTGAATGCAACTAAGTTTAAGGGGCCATGCAAACATGGTATGGTAATCCAGGTAAGTCGTAGGATTATAAGGATTCTTTTCCCCAAAACAAATAAGGAGGGAAGATCATGGTTGAAAGTTAAGAGTTGACATTGCAGATTGAAGGAACAATAGTTGCACCAGGTGAACCAGAGAATTGGGATCCAAAACTTCCCCGTCAATGGCTGGAGTTTACAAAACTAAGTGCAGCTACCTTTCAAGGGGATGGAATTATCGACGGCTCCGGTGAGAAATGGTGGGCAGAATCCTGTAAAAAGAACAAGTCCAGGGTAAATTCTTGAACCATCTCTTAGCTTGTTTCTCTAGCTATGTTATAGAAATCTTAATCATTTCTGGTTTTCTGGTTGCTTTTTTTCCAGCCTTGCAAAGGAGCACCAACAGTAAGAACAAAACTACTTTCCTCCCAGTGGAAACCATGATTTTTCCTTGTGTAACACATTTTGATTGGAGGGATTTCTTGCAGGCATTAACCATAGAGTCGAGTTCAAATATAAGAGTAAAAGGCCTTACCATTCAGAACAGCCAACAGATGCATTTCATCATTGCGCGGTCTAAAACTGTTCGAGTTTCGGAGGTAAGAGTGTCAGCTCCAGGAGATAGCCCCAACACCGACGGGATCCACATCACGCAATCAACTAATGTTGTAGTTGAAAACTGCAAGATTTCAACAGGTTTTCTTCGTTCTGACCTTCATCATGTTACCTTTAACACCACTATTTCACCCTCTAACAGGTTATATGCAGGTGATGACTGCATCTCCATTGTCAATGCTAGCTCTGGCATCAAGATGAAGAGAATATCATGTGGACCAGGACATGGGATCAGGTATCTGCAAATGTTTGCATTTATTTCAAGCACCAAAACCATATCAATGTCTTAAGAATTCCTCTCTTTTTGTGTGTGTTCCTTAGCATTGGAAGTTTAGGGAAAGACAACTCCACTGGTATTGTAACAAAGGTGGTGTTAGACACAGCCTTCCTCAGAGAGACAACAAATGGTGTTAGAATCAAGACCTGGCAGGTTAGAATCACATCTTTAACCACCATGTTGGTACTTACTTTTACCAAGAACAAGGGGAAACTCTGTCTGTGCATATGGTACAGGGAGGTTCGGGATATGTTCGCGCCGTTCGGTTCGAAAATGTGAGAATGGAAAATGTTGAGAACCCCATTATCATCGATCAGTTCTACTGTGACCATACTACTTGTGAACCTCAGGTATTACCCTCAAAATGCAGAATTTAGTTTGTCCATTATCCATCATGGAGTCCAATACACTATTTCTGTCAGGCATCTGCCGTGAAAATAAGCCAAATCATGTACCGAAACATAAGTGGAACCACAACGAGCAAGAACGCGATGAAGTTCGCCTGCAGCGACAGCTTTCCATGCAGCAACATAATTCTAAGCAATGTCAATTTGGAGAAGACGGATGGAACAGTGGAGACCTACTGCCACGCTGCTCAAGGCTTTGGATATGGCGTGGTGCATCCATCAGCAGACTGCTTAAGTTCCAGCGACAATGACATTGCAGCTTCAGATGAGACCCAAGTTCCGGAGCTGGAGGCAGTGCAACTCCCTACTGAGCGGCACATAGTTCACACTGAGCTCTGACCTTCATGTCCTGTCCATCTAAACTAAACTCAGCAAATATTTGTAGCATATATACATAGTACTCACAATTAAACCTACCCTTTTGGAATCTAAATAGAAATATAGACTACCAAGTAAATGATTGTAATATTTCTTGAAAAAAGTATACATATTTTGAATTTATAGTAATGGTTTTTTAATACCAGAGTTCATTGCACATGGTTTATGGCCTTGCAGTTCTAAGTATATATAATACACACAAATGCGTAGATGGGGACTAGTGGACAATAGTGAGAAACGAAAGGGGAAGATTGAGGAAGAAGGGCCGGTGTTAATGGAGGAGTAATGGTTAAAATATCACTACAAGTTCAATAGGGTCAGACCCAATAATTACTTGAGCAAATAAAGATATCTAGATATTTAAGGAATAGATTTTCTGGCTTCATACTATAAATACTAGTCCACCCTATCTAGATTTGCATCTCAAAAAGAAATTCAAAACACAGAAGGTAGTAATATTATATAGAAGAGTGTTTTAAAATCTCTTTTCGATTGATGTTAATAAAGAGTACGAGTGTTTTTCATAGAGAGTTGTGTTCATCAGTAACGTGGGCACCCAAAAAACAGATGGAACTCAGAACATTCCTTTCAGAAATAAAAAATAAAAACAGAGCAGTTTCTGGTAGAATATCAACATCTTGAAAGCGAAAGAAGGCGTACAGTAGAAGTGTCATGGAACAAAACAAAGTGGCTCACAAACGGATCCGTGAGGCTTGGCAAAAGAAAGTGCCTTTTTGCGTGGAATGAAGACAGAAATTGTAGGGACGGAAGAGCCATATCTAAAGGCGAGGAATCAAAATCGAGTTGGGACATAAATGGAGGTGATAATAGTAAGGGCGTGTCTGGGAATAAGGCTTTTTTAACCACATGTACAATAATAAGATGGGTAAATTATAAAAATTATCTTAAATATGTTTATCTAATGTCCTTAATTATTAAAATGATTAAACACATAAATATGGAAACATAAAAGCAAATATAGAATGGTGTGCATGGAAGATAAGGGAATAAAAGAGTGATGTGGGCATAGTTATTATATTTATGGAGTTCACGAGAAGGCTCTAACCAACGGACAATATCATGTTTTAATTAAAAAAATTAGACAGGTTAATAATCATGTGATTTAATACAAGCTTTTGAATTTTGGGCATCTTTTAGTATTTTAATTTCTAACGAAACTTAAAAGTTTTAAAGTGTCAAGAGGAAAAAAAAACGTTTTAAAGATAAAGAATGATTTTTTAAGAAAAGTTATCAATAGAACATGAGTGAAGAAACAAAATTGATGAGAAGAAAGAAAAAAAGTGCGAGCTTGTTTGTTTGGATATCATTTCATTTTAATGTGAAAAATATTTTCAAATGATCAGTAAATTTAGGCAATATATATTAGATAGTACCTATTTATTTCAGTTTTTTCAATTACATTCTGTCATAAAAAAACATGTTACAGATTTATAATAAAAGTTTAACACCTCATTCTATTATATTTTATTAATAGTTGTATTTCAAGTGCAAATAACAACATACATTGATATAATTAATGTCTTAAATGGGCAAACAATAATTTAATGATACGGAGAACCTTAAATACCTGAGAATTACTTAAAAAGCATATTTGGTAGTTGTTAACAGAGAGCGAGAAAGGAGAGAATTAGGTAAGTCAATAAAAGAATTAGACAGACGTAAAGACAACAAGATTCAGGAGCCTAGCTAGCCACACAGATATGTATGCATCCAAAGAGCTTTAAATACTCGCAGTCGCACCAACTTTTTTAAAACCAACTATTTCTTCCCATTTTTCTATTTCATGTCATTTTCACCCAAACAACACAACCAACCAAGACAAAGACAATAGCAACAGGAGGAGGAGAAGAAGGCCCAGTTAAGAGGCACAGCAAGAGCAGCAAAGAAAAATTGAAGGGGCAAATAGCAAAAACGACAACCAAACGTAGGGCAGACCATCTATAAACTATTAAGCGTGCCAATGCACTTCCCTGTTTCTCTCTCTGCTTTTGGTGGTGAAACTATCAAAGTATCTCAAATTTCTAGTAGCGTAAGATTCTACATTGATTTGAGAGAGGAACGAATGCTAGCGAGGATGCGAGCCTTAAAAGGGGTAAATTGTGAGATCCCACATTGATTGGAGAGGAAAACAGGTGCCAGCAAGAACGTTGGATCTCAAAGTAAGTGTATTGTGAGATCCCTCGTCGACGGAAGAGGAGAGCAAATACCACTGGGCCCCAAGGTATTTAAGAGTGGAAAATTCTGCCTGATAAACGCGTTTTAAAAATCATGAGAAACTTGAAAGGAAAAGTCAAAAAAAAGACAATATCTACTCAGAGTGGGCTTAAGTTGTTACCTGTGATAATAATTGGACATATTCTAGAATTCACGTCTTACCCGTTATTATGAGTCAGACCTCAAGGAATAACTTTTTGTGGGGAAGGAGTCCTATTACGTAGTGGGAAGTTGGAAAAGAGAAGATTGGCCCGTGATAACTGCTGCATGTGACTATTATGAGCTCAAATATTTCACTGCCAACCTTTCATTCTTTCACCTTTACAGACCCATACATCACGTGTCCCGCTTTCCTCTTTAATCTTTAAAACTCCTCAATTATATGCTTACTTAATCATTTAGCTTCCAAATATTACAGATAAACCAGCCACATCCTGATGGTGAATAAGACAACCGGGTAGGAAAAATGTACAAAAGAATTGTGGCTAATCTTCATACGTCTGTCACTGGTTATAGTTATACGACGTTGTGCTCGTCAAAAGTACTGACACTTGAATATTTTATCTAGAGTTTGGTGAGTAAATAAGTAAAGGTCTATGGCTACTTCGTGGACACGTGGCCAAATTCATGGAGCTTGGGTAGTAGTTAGTTTAAAATACTCAAAATGATAGTCTTGACTTCTTGTAATCGTAGACCGCCACTAGATATTGTCCATTTTTGTTTTTTCTTCCGAGCTTTTCCTCAAGGTTTTAAAACGTATTTAGGGAGAGTTTTCAACACTCTTATGAGCAATGTCTTGTTCCCATCTTCAACTGATGTGAGATCTCACACTTCTATGCGTTGGTGTTATACGAATTGACCCTAGCTTTGAAGTCCCTTTGTCTATTTAAACAGCCCATCTGATTTGTTTCTCTAAACTAAGCTAAACTTGTCTTCTTTCTTTCTTCTTCTCTCTCAAATGGATGTGAAAATGAAAGGGCCAAGTTTCAGAGGGCTCACATTTATGTTAGCGGTGGCATTTCTTGTTTGGTCTTCTAGCTCGGAGGGCTGCCATGGAAGAGCCACAGGAAAACATTGGAGGCAAAACAGAGAGGCCTTGCCTGCTCTCTCCTCCAAGAAAGGGAAGACTCACAATCACGGTGGCGCTCACAAAGGCAACCACCATGGTGGTGCATCAAAGACAAAGCCACCATCTCGTAAAATGCCGAAACCAGATGTCCCTCGTAGCCCGCCGCCCCAGAAAGGCAGTCGTTCTTCCACGTTTAACGTGCTCGATTTTGGAGCTAGGGGCGATGGAAAAACTGATGACACCAAGGTACACACTAAAATAGTTATGAACTTACAATTACACATGAGTACTGTGTGAGTGATGTAAGTGAATAGAAATGGTATTTTACGGAGAAGGGAATGTAAAAGGAGGGTGTGGGCCCGGAAGGCGGAAACTCGTTATAGCAGTTGGAAAGGATTTTAGCAAGAACAATTGGGTGGGTAGACAGCATCCAGAAAACTAACAGTAAACAAGAGAAACAGTAAAATAATCATGTGCATTGCAGGCATTTCAGGATACTTGGACAGCCACTTGCAAGGTGACAGCATCAACCTTCATTGTCCCATCAAAGTACGTCTTTTTAGTAGGCCCCATCTCCTTCTCTGGTCCGTACTGCCAACCCAATATTGTATTCCAGGTACCTAACCTTTACACCAGGCATTTTGCATCAGTGCTACGGATCCTTGATTATAGAAGAAAATAGAGGACTTGACATTAGCTTGTTTGTATTTTTTTTTTTTTTTCATTCTAATATAAGTTGGATGGGAAAATCATTGCACCGACGGACTTCAAAGTTTGGGGAAGAGGCCTATTCCAATGGCTGCAGTTCACGAAGTTGATGGGACTTAACATTCAAGGAAATGGAACTATTGATGGAAGGGGTTCAGTATGGTGGCAAGTTTCACCCTTTGATGATACCATTGACCATGAATTCAAACTACTCATCCCACTCAACAGCTCTGTACAAGAAAAGCCACCAGCCCCGGTAACTGACTATCACACACCCCACATTATGGCATCTATAAATTTTCTGCAGCATTTTCTCTAAAATCATACTGAAACCTATGGCAGGCAAGAAGTGAGCTTGTTGGAAAGATGCCGCGGATCAAGCCAACTGTAAGCGACATAGAGCTCGTTTCATTGTTTGTGAAACATCCCTTGACACGGCTCTGTTCTTTTGTTGTACAGGCTCTGAGGTTTTATGGAAGTTTTAACGTTACCGTCACTGGCATAACAATTCAAAACAGTCCTCAATGCCACCTCAAATTCGACAATTGTATTGGTGTCTTGGTTCATGATTTTAGTGTCTCGTCTCCAAGTGACAGTCCCAATACTGATGGAATTCATCTACAGAATTCCAAGGATGTGCTAATCCACAACACCACTCTCTCTTGTGGTATGAATTACTTTGCCTAGAATCATTATTTTTGCCTCTTATTGTAATTTCGACCATACTGATGGAATTCATCTACAGAATTCCAATGTATGTCACCCCCAGTAAAGAAACAAAAGCCTGGCAGTGACATACATTGGATGAAAACTGACAGCTAAGTTTAATCTTACACACAGGTGACGACTGTATTTCAATACAAACTGGTTGCTCAAATGTGTACGTACAAAATATCAATTGTGGGCCAGGACATGGAATCAGCATTGGAAGTCTGGGGAAGGACAACACAAAGGCTTGTGTTTCTAACATTACCGTTCGGGATGTAATTATGCATAACACAATGAATGGTGTCAGAATTAAAACATGGCAGGCAAGCACAATTCGTCTTTAGAACTAACTCACCAATAGTGCTAGTCTTGATCAGTTAAGTAAATACTTTATTTTGCATTAGTTTGTTATCTATAGATGAAAC